TTTTTGCCTCTCCCTTTCATTACCTTTTTTGTTTTTCCTTTACATTGATTTGTGTGTGTGTGAGAGGGCGCGTGCCTCTATTTACCTCTTGGGCCACTCAACAGCTCTTTCTTGTATTTTTGGTTAGCATGTAATAAAAGGTTTTCACTATAATATTTTCATATATAGAAATCTGCATATGAATCATATTTTGTTCTTATTCGCCCCTCCCAGCTTTCATGACAGATATATTCCTTTACCCCTTCTTGTCCTCCCGGCTTCAAACCTCTTCCTTCCTTTTCGCTATCCTTTCTTTTCTTCATTGTCCTACATATACATATGAAATATATTGTTTGTTTTATTTTTTAGGACAGGGTCTCACTCTGTAACCCTGACTGGCCTGGAGCTCACTATGTAGACCAGGATGTCTTCAAACTCACAAAGATGCAGCTGCCTTAGCCTCCTGAATGCTGGGATGATATATGAGAGAAAACGTGCAAAGTTACACAGTTCCTCAACAAGTCCGTATCATAGTGTCTGGTTTTTGTTTTGTTTTGCCTGGCATTTTAAACACAAAGGGGGAAAGAGGGGGTGGGGGAGGCTGGGGGGAAAAAAGGCCCGCTGAGGAGGAATGTTTTTTGCCTAATACCCCAAAGCCTGGAGGGATTTAGAGCACAGAGCATCTGTTATTATTGATGGCAGGTTGATGGCCTAAGAACAGAGAGAATGTTAGGTCAGGAATGCTTTGCGCAAAATCAAGGCTGCGCCTGGCCACTGGAAGATAAGACCGATAAATAATGGATTTCGACAGGATAAATGGTTCTGGCTAGGGTCTGCTCCTCCCTCTCTTGCCCCAGCTGCTCTCTGAAGACAGGGAACAGACCTGCTTTGTGTGCTCTTGCCTTCCAATCACCTGCCTTCATGATTAGGCAGGGGACAGACCTAGGTTATAAACACAGCTCTGCAGAGAGTTCCCTTGGCCAAGTATGGCACTTAGAGTATTCTGATTCTCTTTTGATGTTTTCCACTGTCCTTTAGGTCCCTCATAAGCCTGTCCAGAACACTCCACAGTGCCGAGATACAAAGTAGGTGTTCAATAAAAATTTGATATATAGAAGAATTTGATATATAGAAGAATTTGAGGGAGAGAGTTGTAGAGGAACAAACAGCTCACTCCTCTGGAGTCTGTCTCCCCATAAGTACCTAGATGAAGCGGCTCTTGGTACGTGGGGGGTGTGGGGTGTGGGGTGTGGGGTGTGGGGTCAGGCCATTTTCTTCTGAAGCATTCCTGCCTTAAAGACAATGACTGGATGGTAGTTATACACTTGGAAGCAAATAATTGTGATTTTGCCTTCTAGAATGCAGGTGTTTCCCTCAGTGTCTCAGTTTCACACCTGCAGAAAAGGCCAAAGGCCAGGGCTTGCTTGGTCACAGCTACACTATTTGTTTTGGTGTCAGGAAAGCCTTTGACTTTCCTCACCAATTTCCCTAAACACTATTTTCCACCTTTAGGTTATATCTCCTTGCTCTCATGGCTACAGGGCCGCTACAAGGTCCAGTATTTTGTTCTCTGCTTCTTATTTCTTTCCAACCCCAAAATTCTTTTCTCTCCCCCCCCACCCCAAGAAAGGGTTTCTCTGTGTAGCCTTGGCTGTCCTGGACACACTTTGTAGACCAGGCTAGTCTTGAACTCACAGAGATCTGCTTTCTTCTGCCTCCCTGAGTCAACCCCCAAATTCTTACCCAGATGTCAGCCTCTGGGACAGGGCAGCAACAGTGTGATAATTAAGGTTAGGGTTGGACATTTGCATCAGCCTAGGAAGAAGCACAAAAGCTGGAGCTGAGGATGCAGCTTGGTGCTTCAGTACATAAGCACAAGGCTCTGGGTTCCAGTTCAGGGCAGGACCGAGGGATGGAAGAGCACCTCAAGGATACTAATCACGTTTGCATTTCATTTCTAGTCTATGTGTATGTGTATGTGCATGCCTACGTTTGTGTGTGCCATACGTAAACAAGTGTCCACGAAGACCAGAAAAGGGTTTCAGATCCGCCCCCAAACTGGAGTCACAGGCATTTGTTGAGCTACCTCATGTGGGTGCTTGGACTCGAACTGGTTCCCTACAAGAGCAGTGAGTGCTTCTAAATCACTAAGCCATCTCTCTAGCTCCAAGAAAAAGTGTTTGCTGTATCTATGATTGTGCATGTACCGGTGTGAGTGTGCAAGCGCCGTGGTGTGCGAAGGTCAGAGGAACGGCTTGCGGAAAGTCAGTTTTATCTTACTACCTTGTGGGTCTCAGGGAACGAACTCAGTTGGTCAGGCTTGGCCGCAAATCCTTTCACCACTGATCCATCTTACTGGCCTGGAAATAATTTCTTTCTTTTGGCAGGGAGGGAGATTTGAGACACAGTTTCTCGGTATAGCCCTGGCTGTCCTGGAACTCACTCTGTAGACTGTTGCAGGATATTTGATCCCATTGTGAACCCCAAAACTGTGAACTGTAAAACCCTGTTTCTTGTTTGGTGTGGTTGAGCCCTACCACACACCTTTATTCCAAGAAGTTTCTGTTTATTCTAAACAGGTGGTATGCTTCAGCCAGCCCTACTACGCACCTTTAATCCAAGAGCTTTAATAACACAGGATTAATGACACAGGATTTAATAAAGTTAGCACTAGATCAAGAGGCAGAGCAAGAAACTAATGGACAGAGTAAAAAGTGGAAGGGACTTTGAGTTAAAGGAGTATTTAAGACAGCATGAAGTAGAAGGACCTTTAGCTCTCTGGTCTTTTGGACTTTGAGCTAGTAAGCTTTTGGCCTTGGGTTTTTGGCCTTTTCCTCCTAGGCTGTCAGTTGAGCTAGTAAGCCTTTTAAGCTTTTTCCATCGGGATGTGAGCTGAGAAGGAAGGTCAGCTGGGTGCTTTCTCGGCTTCTGTGAGCTAGCAGGTTTTCACCCCAGCATCTGGCTCCTGAGTCTTTGTTGGTAATATAGAATGGTTGGGCTTTTCATTTTTTTTATAACAACAGTAGACCAGGTTGATCTCAAACTCACAGAAATTCTCCTGCCTCTGCCTTCCTAGTGCTGGGGTTAGCAGTGCCGATGTCTTCCAGAAGAGGGTGTCAGATATCCTGGAACTAGCATTACAGTTGTGGGTGTTGGGAATTGAATCCAGGTCCTTTGGAGGAACAGTCAGCATTCCCAACCACTGAGCCACCTTGTCTGCTTTTATATATTGTTGGAGACTGAACCTAGTGTTTCCCGCATGCTGAGCAAGCACTCTCCCAGTCCTCAAAATAAAATGAAATGCATCTTTCTGTTCATATTTACTATTGACAAATACATGCAGCAATTCCTAAACAATTCTGAAAGCTTGTATAGTACTTACTATGACTACGCGTAATGATTCTGAAAGCCTCTTTGTGTGTTTGTTGACAGGGTCTTTCTTGCTATGCCGCTCAGGCTGGCCTCAAACCCATCATGTAGCTAAGGCTGACCTTCAACGCACACTGCTCCTGTGAAGTGCTGGGATTTGTCAGGGACGTACCACTCCTGGGCCACAGAGTCTTTTCTAGCTGTCCTGGGACTCACTGTGTAGACCGGGGCCGGCCTAGAACTCACAGAGATCTACCTGCCTCTCTGCCTTCCAAATACTGGAATTAAAGTTGAGTGCAGCCAAGCCTGGCTTGGAGTCTTTTCTGACAGAGCTTAAAAAAAAAAACATACACCTATATTTTCCTCCTTCCTATGAAAGTACAGCTAGATAGAAATATGAAGTTTTATTAGCAAAGGGTTGCAGAGAAAAGAGAGTCAAGTGGAATAAGCTCCTGCAATCTAACTCCACACTGGCAGGAAAGCCAACGGCCGGCTTTCCCAAGGGAAGAGCATCAGGAACTCAGATGGCAAAGTATGAAATGTTTAGGAACCTGGAAACACGGAGCTGTTGGAGGCAGTGAGAACCACTACCCTGGTATTCCTCTGCCTGAAATGTTCAGATGGGGGGGGGGGAATGCTGTTTTTACTACGTAGCTTTGTCTGGCCTCAAACTCAAGAGGTCGGCCTGATTTTGCCCCACCAGGGCTGGGATTAAAGGAGAGCACCACCGTGTCCGGTTTGCCTGCATATCTTTATCATTGAAGTGAGAGTTCAAGGATACAATAGTGCAATGGAGTCACAGCAAAAAATAGTGGAGAAAGCCAATATTTTTTTCCTTTTGATTGATTGGAGGCGTTTTCTTATTTTTCACACAGAATATTGTGATATGAGAAACCCTTTACCTCCACCATAAAGGCTCTGCCAAAGGAGGGAAAAAAGATTCAGTTGGGACCCCTGAATTTAGGCCCTCAGGTTCACAACCCAGCTGACATTTAGAGAAACGGGTTCTATGAGGACTGAGGGTATTGGCAACAGGAGTGTTTGCGATCAGCCTTACTGGGACACTGGCAGTTTTGGGGGGTATTAACAGCAACTCAACTACAGTCTGCAGTGTGCCTACTGTGTGGGCCGGCCACTTTGCATAGCTATTAGAGTTAGTCTTTACCTAAGCCATTTAGACCGTATTAACCCAGTTTACAGACGAGAAACCAGAATCTATCGTTTCCTGGTGTAAGGTCACTTGAGATCGCTTGACGAGAGGTTACCAACCGAGAGGATCAGAGACATGTCAATTTGTATTTCCCAGGCACTGTTTGGTCTGACCCTCCCGGCAGTGATTCTAATGCGCAGGCGCGGAGTCTCTGGCCCTGCGTCTTCGGGAATCCTTTGCGCAGGCCACGGTCGCCCTCTGCTGACGTAGTGCGGAAGCGCGCTGAGCCTGAACGTGAAGCAACCTAAGGGCGGGAAGAGTCTTCTTGCCCGATAGAGGGCGCCACGCAGCGCACGACGTAACTCAGAGCGTCTTGCCCTTCTAGGAGGGCTTCCTGCCTGGTCTCGCTGCTCCATACAGTGACGCGCTACGTTCTCGAAGTCATTGTAAACAAGAGACGCGCGCCGACCCGGAAGTGGAAGCTGTAGCTTCGCCTTCTGGCCTACCGGAAGGAGGCCGAAGGGAAGTTGTAGCCATGACTGTGGCGGTGGCCACCGCCGGGGTCCTGATGGGCTTGGAGCCCGGCCCCGCGGAAGAGCTCGCTAAACTCGAGTACTTGTCTTTGGTGTCGAAGGTTTGCACGGAGCTGGACAACCACTTGGGCATCAACGACAAGGATCTGGGTGAGCAGGAGGAGGTCCCTGTGGCCTCTGAGTTTGGGGTCGAGGGAGGCTGGAGAAAAATGGTTGATGGGCTTAAGGTTGTGTGTGTCCTCGTGACTTGGGCTCCGAGAACCTGAGGCGGTGGCCTCTTCCTGAGAGCCCTCTAGACCGAGCTGTTACAGACCATGTCTCAGAGCTGCCAGTGAAGGCTGGGGCAGCGGTCAGCATCTACTCTGAGCTTGTGCTTTGAGCTGTGTTCCTAATTATCCACATATTCTTATCTATTGGACAGTAGTCATTAGATTTGTCGGGGCAAACTATGACTAGGGGAACCCAAACAGAAATTAAGAAAGGCTATGGACCCAAACCGTGTAAACCTTATGAAAATGAGAGGGCGTGTATGTGAATTAGCATGTAGGGAGCAATCCGTTTGATAGGTACAGGGTTACTTCATTTGTCGTCAGAGGAGAAAACGGTTGTAGATGGAGGGAAGATTTAGAGATTGGTGATTGAAAGATGGGTGAGAACTTTTTTTTTTTGATTTGTTTTTAGTTATATCTTTCTTCCCTTGTTTTTATTTTATGCGTTTTATTTTATGTGTTTCCATGCATCATGGGGGTGCCTGGGGCCTGAAGAGGTCAAAAGAGCTTTTCAGATCCCCTGGGACTGAAGTTACAGACACACAGCTGCGAGCTGACATGTGGGTCCTGGGAATAGAACCTGAGTCCTGGAAGAACAGCCAGTGCTCTTAACCTATGAACCATCTCTCCAGCTCCAAGTATTTTATTTTATGTGCATGAGTGTTTTGTCTGCTCGTATGTCTGTGTTATCACCTGTATGCCCGGTGCCCACAGAAGGTTTCAGATCCTTTGAAACTAAGTTATAAATTGTTGTGAGGTGCCATGTGGGTTCCGGGAATTAAACCCAGGTCTTCTTCTGTTTTTGTTTGTTTTTTATTTGCAGTTTTCACTTTTTTAACATTTATTTTTATTTGATATACATTGGTGTTTTGACTGCATGCATGTCTGTGTGAGGGTGTCAGATCCCCTGGAACCGGAGGTACAGACAGTTATGAGCTGCCATGTGGGGGCTGGGATTTGAACCTGGGGCCTCCGAAAGAGCAGTTGGTACTCTTAACCTCTGAGCCATCTCTCCAGCCCCTGTTGTTGTTTTTTGAGACAGGGTTTCTCTGTGTAGCCTTGGCTGTCCTGGAACTCACTCTGTAGACCAGGCTGGCCTTGAACTCAACAGAGATCTGTCTGTTTCTGCCTCCCAAGTGCTGGGATTAAAGGATGTGCCACTACTGCCCAGCTAAACCCATGTCCTCTTAATTGCTGAGCTATCTCCAGCCCCCCTCCTATCTCTCTCTGTCTGTCTCTCTCTATTTATTGAGACAGGGTCTCAATATACAAGGTCACTGTATATTTCTTACAGGTTTGGAACTCAATGTAGAACAAGCTGGCCTTGAACTCACAAACATCTGTTGGCCTCTGTCTTCTAAGTGCTGGAATTAAAGGTGCCAGCCAGCAAATAATGCAGACTCTGTTTTGGTTTTTTTGAGACAAGGTTTCTCTGTGTAGCCCTTGCTATCCTGGACTCACTTTGTAGACCAGGCTGGCCTTACACTCACAGAGATCCACCTACCTCTGCCTCCCTGAGTGCTGGAATTACAGGTGTGCACCACCGCATTTGGCTTTAAAAATTTTTTTTAAATAAATTATCATATATACAGTATTCTGCCTGCAGGCCAGAAGAGGGCACCAGATCACATTATAGATGGTTGAGAATTGGGAATTATACTCAAGACCTATATATACTCAAGACCTCTGGAAGAACAGCGAGTGCTCTTAACCGCTGAGCCATCTCTCTCTTTTTTTTTTTTTTTTAATTAAAAAATTTTACTGCCTGTAAAATTGGTTCATCAGTTAAGAGCACTCACTGCTTTTTCAGAGGACCTGAGTTCAGTAACCAGCACTCACATCAGGAGGCTCACAAACCTCACAAACACCTTTCGCTGCAGCTCTAGAGAATCTGATGCCTTCTGGCCTCTGGGGGTATCTGCATGAATGTGTGCATATGTATTGTCTTAGGTACTGTTTTATTGCTGTTAGGAGATACCATAACCAAGGCAGCTCCTAAAAAAGAAAATATTTTGTTATAAAAAATGAAGAGCACAATTGTTCAATTTTACCAATGAGGACTCAGGAGCCACGTGCTGGGGTGAAAACCTGCTAGCTCACAGAGGCTGAGAAAGCACCCAGCTGATCTTCCTTCTCAACTCATAACTCAGAAAGAAAAGCCCAAAGCTAAAAGCCCAAGAGCTTCTCCTCTACGATGTCTTAAATACCCCTCAACTCAAAGTCCCTCCTTTGTTAGTCCCTCTGCTTCTTGACCTATGGTTACTATTGGTAAAGCCTCTGTGCAGAAAGCTCTAGGATTCAAGGTTTGTGTAAGGGCTGAACCACACCATAATCACCTGTTTAAAATAAACAGAAAGTTCTTGGATTAAAGGTATATGTTTGGGCCAAACCACACCAAACAAAAGCCAGGTTTTTACAGTTCACAGTTTCGGGGATCACAGTGGGATTGACTGTCCTGCAACAGTGTATAATTGGGGACTTATAGTTTCAAAGGTTTAGTCTGTTACCATTATGGCAGGGAATGTGGTGGAAGGCAGGCAGGCATAGTGCTGGAGAAGTAGCTGAGAGTTCACATCCTGATCCGCAGGCAGACGGACACAGACACACACAAACACACAAACCTACAAACATATACAGGACCTGACATGGAGTTTTGAAATTTTGCATCCCCCCCGAACACACATACCACCTCCAACAAGGCCATACCTGTAATCCTTCCCAAATAGTTGGACTAGCTGGGAACCAAGCATTATGAGCCTCTGGGGTGTCACCCTCACTCAGAGCACTGCACTTACTCAGCTTGAAGACTCCATTATCTAGTAATAGCTGACGTCTTTTGTATAGAAAGGCTCTGATCTTCCAGAAGCTATTCTTCTCTGTGTGTGTGTATGTGAGTGTGTGGTGTGTCTTCTTGTGTATGCATGGGCTTGTGCTTTCATATGTTGTCTCCTTAGAGAAAGTGTGGCAGTGTGCATAGTTGCTAGTTTTATGGTCAGAGGTATGTACCATCTTGGACAAATCAGTCTTCTCAGTTTAAATACATTCTAGAGCTTGGTTGAACATTTTGGAGTAGTGTCTTTTAATTTATAAAACCCCCGAGAACATACACAAACTGTCTCAGTCATTTACACTTTCTTCCTCTGGAGCAAAACAGCCCACTGGTCCACTTCTACCCCCAGGAATGGTTGTTTTGTTTTATTTTGAGTCAGGGTCCCCCTAGATAGCCCTGGCTGGCCTGGCACTCAGTAGATAGAGTAGACCAGGCTGGTCTCAGACTCAGAGTTCCATCTGCCTTTCCCTTATGAGTGCTGGGATTAAAGGTGTGCACCACTATGCCTAGCTGTTTTTTTTTTTTTTTAATTTTTTTTTTTAATTTTTTATATGTGTGTGTTTTGCCTGCATATATGTTTGTGTACCACTTTTGTGTGGTGCCTGTAGAAGCCAGAAGAGGGTATTGGATCCCTTGAAACTTAAGTTACAGACAGTTGTGAGCCTCCTTTCAGGTGCTGGGAATTGAACCCAGGTCCTCTGGAAGAGCAGCTAGTGCCCTTAACCACTGAGCCATCTCTCCAGCCCTGCTTTTCTTAGTCTGCGGTCTTTATTTCGATGTCTAATCTGTGTCCCTGGTGCAATTCTTGGTCCTGGAACACAAGAGCTTGGAATGGGTGGGCTGGTACTAAGCATGCTTTTCCCTTTCTCCTTACCTCATTTTCAGTGACTGGTCAAGAACTAATGCCTGCTTTCCATGGTGCTCTGGGCCTTCTCACTGTTCCTCTGACCTCCAAGCCTAAATTAAAAGACATGGCTTTTGTCTCTCCCTGCAGCTGCCAGGAATTGCAGTTTGTCTGTCTGGTTGCTTGCTTTCAAAAGCTAATAAAATTTTTCTTGAGCTTCAAAAACTAAATAAAAATAGATTTTGGGGGTGGGTGGGTGGAGCTAGAGGGATGACTCAACAGTTAAGAGCAGGGGCTGCTCTTCCAGAGGACCTGAGTTAGATTCCCGGCCCATGGGCATGTGGTGGCTCACAGCCGTCTATAACTCTGTCACAGGGTCCTCGCCCTCTCCTAGCTTCTGCAGGCACCGGGTGTGAATGTGGAACACAGACATACTTGCAGGCAAAACACCCATACACATACAATAAAATATTTTTTAAAATAGATGTTCTTCCTTTATTTTTCTTTTCTTTGCTCCAAGTAGATGATAGTTCTTAAGACAATTGGGTAACCTGATTAGTTTTTAACATACTTAACATTTTTTTTTGGATGGAGTCTGCATTTACAATTCCTTAAAAAAAAATTTTTTTTTTCCTCATTTACAGCTGAATTTGTGATCAGTCTTGCTGAGAAAAATACCACCTTTGATACTTTTAAGGCTTCTCTGGTCAAAAATGGTGCAGAATTCACAGTATGTATATCTGAAGATTCTTTGTCTTCTTCCTTTTGTTTTGGTGTTGCCTCTGAATTTAAATTTTAATAGGACTAAAGGATTTTCAAGTAGGAAGGAGAGGAGACCCTTTGTACAAGTTAAGTAAGCCATCAAATGTGTAGCGTTGGCATGCTGGCTAGGGAGCCGCATTTCCAGCGATACTTTCTAGGAGAATGCAGCAGGATTCCATCATTAACTTTCTGAGGATGTTTCCATTCTTGTTCTGCAAATCAGGAAGTCAGGAACAAGAGTCTAGGTTTGGAGACAGTTTTAGAAGATGGGAAATAGAATGATCTGTGGGCATGGTATAAGGTTCCTAACCTTCTAGTGCTGCAATCCTCGTATTGAGGTGACCTCAACCATAACATTATTTTTGTTTCTACTTCATAGCTATATTTGTGCTACTGTTATGAATCATAATGTAAATATCTGTTTTTCAGTGGTTTTAGGCAGCCCCTGTGAAAGGGTGGTTTGGCCCCTCAAGGGATTGCAACCCACACATTGAGAACTGCTGGTCTAGGTTATCTCTGTCCCAGGTTGACCGTCTCTGTCTCTCTCTGTCTCGCTCTGTCGGCGCAGGTCGAGTGCAAAAGCACACTCCCCTGCAGTATACCCTTTCCCTTCCCTGTTGAAATAGTTAATCGCTTATCTGGGGGCTGACATGCTCTGTCTGGTGCTGCTTTTCTTTGAAGGATTCTCTTATTAGCAACCTGCTGCGTCTCATACAGACCATGCGGCCTCCGGCAAAGCCTTCTACTAGCAAAGGTAAGTGGACTCCCAGCTGAGCCGAGCCTCCAGAAGGCTCTGGGTGGTGGCACTTTGCTCTCAGGTGTTGCTAAGCGAGAGAATGCGCCAGTCACATTCTGAGACATTCAGAGGACTGACATGTTCCCTCTCCTCCTCCATGGAGACAGGGCTTGTTGAGGCTTTCATAGTCAGTGGATTCAGAAAATTTAAATTGTTTCTTGTAGTTATGTGATACATGTAGCAGGAGCAAAATAGTATTTGTTTTTTTTTTTTTTTGTTGTTGTTGTTTTTTTTTTGCTTGATACAAATCTAATGTTGAAGTTATTTTATTAACCTGTAATAATATTGAATATGTCTCTTTTTTAACCCTTTCCATGCTTCTTAATGAAATAAGATCCAGTTGTTAAACCCAAAACTGAAAAAGAAAAGCTGAAGGAACTCTTTCCTGTTCTTTGCCAGCCAGACAACCCTTCAGTTCGGGTATGGATGCTATTTGGGGAATGTCTGCTCTAAGTGTGTGTCTTCTGTCCATATTCTTCATCTTCTTGGCTTGAGTGTATGGATTTTAACTTTGTATCAGTTGTATGATGTTTTTCTGAGCAGAGAGTAACATTAAAGGGACATGCGCTTGGGAACTTGGGGAAACAGTAGTGAGGAATATCAGATAGGTATGAAATGACTTATCCTGACAGAGATGCCCAGTGTACAAAATTAGAATTTCTTTCTCTATTCCATGTTAAAAAGTATACTTTTTTAAAATCTTTAAATTTTTAAAAAATTTCATTTTAAGATAAGTGTGCTAATGAATCCTTTTAATTTTGGCATTTGGGAGGCAGAAGCAGGAGGATCTCTGTGAATCCAAGGCCAGCCTGGTTTACATATTGAGTTCCACAACAGCCAGGGCCACATAGAGAGAAACTCTCAAAGTTTGTTTGTTTTTAAAGCATTTTAGAATTTACTGAGTCCCTATTAACCTCATATATTTGAGGAGAAAGCCCACTGACCCAAGTCCAATTAATTAATGAAAGCAATTAATTAAAGCAAGCTTTTTTATTCTGTGTATATGTCTGCCTCCTGCTAAGGTGAAGTTCAGAGGTCAGCCTTTGATATTGGGAAAACAGTTTTTATAGCTTGGGAATAGGGAGTTTCCAAATGGGGGATCTTGCAGGCAAATAGGAGGGTTACAGGAGCAGAACATAGCAAGGTGGTTGTAATAACAGGTGTCATAATAACCTTTTGAAACAAGCATGGTTGCCTTCTGGGAACAGGCACTTTAGAACCATTTGTAAGTAAGGTTACAGGTGGACATAGCCTACTCCTTGAGAAACAGGTTTAAACAGAAACAGGAACGAACCTAGTCTGTCTGTATTATAAGATGGCTTTTGAGCCCAAGATAGAGGCAGCCTGATTTATCATACTTGCTGTGTGCCAGGTAAATAACAGCAAAGAGAGCAGATAAGGTTTTCTGCTATTTTTGGATGGAGAGTAGGAAATGAGTGCGTAAGCAGCCTGCCTAGTGGGAGAGAAAGATGGATAGTAAACAAATGGGTGTCAGTGTACCCAGATACCTACAGGGGATTGGTTCCAGAACCCCTGGGTACCAAGATCTGATGCTCAAGTTCCTCAGACAAAATGGATATGATATTTGCAGATAGCGTATATACATCCTCTCACATGCTTTACATTTCTAGGTTACCCAGTACAGTGTAAGCATTTAAGTAGCTTCTAGGCCATATTGCTTAGGGAAGTCAAGGAAACATGTGGTTGCTGAGTCTAGGATATAGACCTTGCCCATAGTCTGTGTCACAGTGGACAGCAGTAAGAACTGTAGAATGTAAACAGGGAAGCAGGAAAGGGAATGCAGAAAGAATGTTGCTATTATTAAAGTTTTGACGATGACCGTGGTTGCATACTCCTTTAATCCCTGCACTTTGAGAGGCAGAGGCAGGTGGATCTCTATGAGTTTGAGTCCAGCCTGGTCTACATAGTGAGTCCAGGACAGCCAAGGTTACACAGAGAAACCCTGTGTAAAAAAAAGAAAAGAAAAAGTTTTGCTATTTGGGGCTGGAGAGATGGCTCAGGGTGAAGGTGCTTGCCACTATGTCTGACAACCTGAGTTTGGTCCAAAGGACCCACATCCTACTGGAAGGAGAAAACTGACTTCCACAGGCTAGTGATGTGAAAGTGGGCAGATTTTTTTTTCTCCTTCTCATTACTTTGTTGATCTCTGGCTGATAGACCATGCTGGATGAGGAAGACGTGAAAGTTGCTGTGGATGTCTTGAAAGAGCTGGAAGCCTTAATGCCCAGTGCAGCAGGCCAAGAGAAGCAAAGAGATGCTGAGCACAGGTTTGTCCCTTACATCCTGTTCCTTTGCATGCTTACTATACTATGACAGTTGAATTTTGTGGACCAGTTAAGCAAACTGTGAGGCAAGTGTGTAGACTCTTACCTGGCTGTGTACTAGGTTGGGTTTCATTGCTTCGTGCCAAACGCATTTATATACAAACAAGTCAGGAGGCCAACTACAGGTGTGGTCAACTACAGGTGTCAACTCCTGTTGGGGTCAGCAGTGAGAGCGCACCTAGCTTATACACAGCGGCTCTGTCCTGGATGCTTGCGGATGCAGAGGTGAGAGGTGAGATCGGGTTGATCTAGTTTTCAAATGGGTACTTGCTGATTTATTAGGGACAGGACAAAGAAGAGGAAGCGGAGTCGGAGCCGAGACCGCGACAGGGACCGAGACAAGGACCGAGAGCGAGACAGAGCCAGAGACAGAGAGCGAGATAGAGACAGAGACCACAAGCGGAGACACCGCTCCCGCTCCCGGTCACATTCCAGGACCCGAGAGAGGACTAAAGGGAAGTCTAGATACCGGTCCAGGAGCAGAAGCCAGAGTCCCTTCAAAGATCGGAAGGACCGGGAAAAGTATGGGGAGAGGAATCCGGACAGGTGGCGTGAAAAGCATGTGGACCGCCCTCCCCCTGAAGAGCCTGCCATTGGGGACATTTACAATGGCAAAGTGACCAGCATCATGCAGTTCGGTTGCTTCGTGCAGCTGGAGGGCCTAAGGTAATGGTTGGCACTCATTCACGTCAGTGATGGCAAGCCCGCCGCTGAGATAGGGTGTGTGTTCTAAGGAGCTGTGACTAACTCCACTCAGTCACTCAGCTCTGCCAGCTGGACTTCTTGGTTTTTCTGTTTGCTTGTTTTGTTTTTGAGATGGAGCCTGTCTTCCATGGCTGTCCTAGGATTCTCTGTGCAGACCAGGCTGGCCTCAAACTCAGAGCCATCCACCTGTCTCTGCCTCCCAATTGCTGGGATTAAAGATGTGTCCTACAAAGTCCAGCTTGTTGATGATGATGATGATGATGATGATGATGATGATGATGATGATGGTGATTATTTTCTAGGGCCTTGAGTATTCTAGGCCAGCTCCCTGCCACATCCTTAGCCTTCGATTCTTTTTTGATTTTGAAATGTCCCATTATTCCTTCCTCTGCTCTCAGGAGATCTGCCCTTTGCTGGTTGTGGCAATTGAGAATTGATCTCTCCTTCCCCCTCAGTCAGTATCTTTCTTTGGGAGGGTGTTGGTGTCAACACAGTTTCATTGCTTGACCACCTTCTCGGTGCTGTGAGTTTAAGCCCCTTCCTCGTCCTTTCCTTCCTTATGTGTGTGCTGTATCTGTGTGTGCATGTTCCTGTGTGGCACTTTACCAGCTGGGCATCTTCCCTTCTCTTTTGGAGACAAAGTCTCACCGTTGTAGGCAATGTGTGCAGCCTCAGACTTATGCATCCCAGGCTGGACTGGAATTCATGATGTCCTGCCCTGTCTCCTAAGGCAGAGGGTTCAGTCCTGTGCAGACCATTTTGTTCAGTTGCAGCGGGAGTAGAGCTCAGTTAGGGAAGAGGCATGTTGAGGTGTATTTCAGAGCTGTCTGACTTTCTCTCAGGAAGCGGTGGGAAGGCCTGGTGCACATCTCTGAGCTCCGACGGGAAGGCCGTGTGGCCAATGTGGCTGATGTTGTGAGCAAAGGGCAGAGGGTCAAGGTCAAAGTACTGTCCTTCACTGGGACCAAGACCAGCCTGAGCATGAAGGTGGGTGATGTCTAGTCTGTCTCCACAGCTGATGGCCCAGGGCATGTCAGAAGACAGTGAGTGAACAGCACCCTTCTTATTGTGCCTTAGGATGTGGATCAAGAGACAGGAGAAGACCTAAACCCGAATAGACGTCGAAATCTGGTCGGGGAGACCAATGAGGAGACGTCCATGCGGAACCCAGACAGACCCACTCACCTGTCCCTCGTCAGCGCCCCTGAAGTGGAAGATGACTCTCTGGAACGCAAGCGGCTCACCCGCATCTCTGACCCTGAGAAGTGGGAGATCAAACAGGTCAGGGTCTCAGCCACTTAGCACACAGTGTCGTGCTTAGGAGTGTGGGCCCTAGGCGCAGCAGCCTGTGGCGTCTTCTGTCCACTCAGTGGTTTTGTGAACCAAATTTTTCTGCCTACCCATTGTGCCTTAGTGCCCTTAATCTGTCCACCAGGGCCAGTGGTGGCGGTGTGGGACTAACAGAGTGAACAGAGGTGAACCTAGGGCCGAGCCTCGGTAGGTGTGATCCTGACTTCATTCTTTTCCTCATTCTTCAGCGAGTGTTAGAATGATGGTGTGGGGGCTGGAGAGACAGTATTTCATGGTTCCTGTCCGTGAGCTCAGCATCCTGTGGGGCAGAGACAGGGGTAAACACGTAACTACACAGCGATATCCATATGACTGACGGAAGTGTGCCCAGTGCTGTGGCGATGGGGAAGGCGCGGTAACCCTTCCCAGAGAAAATGCCTCTGTGCCCGTGCCTTCAGCACCATGTTGTGCTGGCCCCTGGGACAGGATGTGTGCCTCACTCTGACTCCAATGTGCTGGGCTCCAGGAGAAGACAGTTTGCTTTCCTTGTGTGAAATCTCTGGACTTAATGGAGAATAAAAGGATTTTGGGGAGCTGGAGAGATGGCTCAGAGGTTAAGAACACTGTCTATTCCTCCAAAGGTCCTGAGTTCAGTTCCCAGCAACCACATGATGGCTCAACCATCTATAATAAAATCTAGTGCCCTCTTCTGTTGTTCAGGTACACATGCAGGCAGAATGCCATAAAATAAATAAATCTTAAAATTGAACTCCAATGATCTATGAGATGGGGGTGGGTGTGCGTCCATGAGGAGTTAGGGCGAGGAGTGGGGTGAATATGATGAAAATACATTGTATGCATGTGCCTAATTCTCAAAGAACTAATAAAATACTACATATATATGTGTGTGTATATACACACACACACACACACACACACACACATACACACACATATACACACATATATATATATATATATATATATATATATATATA